TAACATTGACTCTTTGACTTTAGAGACGACAGTCCAGATCTTTAAAAAAACACGACCAGGCGTAGCGAAACGTTATGCATTGATGCACATTAACTTAGAGTGTTAAAAATATTTCTTCTTCGACTATTAAAATGTTTTAAATCAATTTTGATTCAGTTGTCAGCAACATAAAAAAAATAGTAAATTCCAATGAAAAGCTTGGTGTTCAGTTTTACATGTTAGACTTGACCCATAAAAAATCCATATATTCGATGGCCTTACGCGACTTCTGACAAATTGTCCGACCCCAAAGAGGTCGCGACCCACAGGTTGAGAACCCCTGATGTAGAGAATTAGAGCATAAGGTTTCGTAAAAAAAAGAAATAGAATGTTTAAAATCACCAGTTATTAAGTGAGATGTGTGGTCGAATTGGAGTACAAAAAAAAAAGTTCCTCCCTCTCAGACCGTGCGATCTATGAGGCACATGATGTAAAGGTCATCTGTTTCTGTGGCCCACGGATAACGAGGGTGTCATGTGGCCAGCACAACGACCGACCGCCTTTACATTTTCCAAACTAATGTCAGGTACCCACAGAGCTGGGTGAATTCAGAGGCGCCCAAAGATCCCGAAATTAAAAATCCCAGTCTTCACCAGGATTCGAACACGGGACCTCCGGTTCGGAAGCCAAGCGCTTTCCCAATCAGTCACCGCGTCTCCGGTTGAATTGGAAAATGCACTTTATTTCAACCACGAGCGAAAATTTTTTTAAATTGAATTTACTATAGCGCAATTTTTATGTTAATGCAAGCCCACGGAGCTAAACCCCAATATCTGACTTGACGTAGTTTGGGAGGAGTATCTGGGAGGTTTCCGTGCTGTCTTTAGGTGCTCAGTTAACGCAGCTCTGCATTTCAAATCCCGATTTCAAAAGAGCTATTTGTTGTTGTTGTCGTTCTTTGTTTTTAACGGCTTTCTTACGATATTAAACTGTTATTTGTTTTGTATAGTCTGTCTGTTGAGATTTTAAAAAAACTAGAATAGATACTGAAAAGCTGATTTCTCCTCTCTCTCTCTCTCTCTCTGGCATTTTACGTCTCGAGCTCGAGAGACGTTCTTTTCCCTTTGCAATTTCTTGTGTGGCTAAAGAAGCCATTCCTTGATACACAGCTGCAGTCACAGATTGGGCATATGTAATCACCAGGGGCCGTTGTACTTTCATCCTTCTTTCTACTTCTGGTGTGTATGGCGCCTGCCATCCGTGACCCTTCTTTTATGCTAGGTGTCATTTGGATCTATCTTATTTCTCCTATAGGCCAAAATAATCAATGTAATATTAATATCTTTATTGAAAATACACCATAACGTGTTTTTTTAAATAAATATTATTGATTAATGTATCGCATCAATAATACATCGAAATTGCTCTTCTTACTTATAGTATTATATCAAGTGTTCTTGCCAATAGGTTTCAAGTTTTATTAGCGATGTTGAATTGCCCAGTTTGCTTCAAATGAAAAAAAAAGGCTAATGATTTTTTGTTTTATTTTATTACTTTGAACGATCAAAACTAGACCATGGCTAAATATTCCTGGTCCATGGGTGAATTCGACAAAGGCAGCCACGATCACGGGAGCTAATCACCCTTGTACCCCTTTCTTTCTCCTCCCTTCTTTCCTAACTGGACCAGACAAGTGCTAGGCAGTGCTAGGACCATAGCGCATTGAGAAAACTAAAAGCATAAAATTGCGCTAAACATAAACAATTGGTAAACATATTTCTAATCGCACTGATTTACTATTGTTTGTCTAGATCTATTACAAATTTAATTATATGACTGATCCAAACTAATTGATACAATTAGCCTACACTTATTGTAAGCTTTGCTTTCTTTTTAAATAATTATTTTATATATATATTTTTTTTAGATAATGTTTACATTATCTTTACAAATCACATTGAGCAGAGAAAAAAAAGTAGGTCAGCAGACGATGAAAATAACACATATGTGAAGATACTAGAACTCTACATAAATAAGTCTAAAAAAACAAAAGAGATTACGTCAGATTTAAACATAACACAAGAAGTGAGCGTTCTAATTTTATCTTGGAAACTCCGACAGTTTTTTTTAACGACAATATTTATCTATTTTTTTAGTCCTAGAAAAAATGTTTAGAATTCCCGTTTTTTTTTATAAACCTTTTCTTGTAATTGAACTTTGATCCTGATTAATTAAGTCCACAAAAGTTGAATGGTTTATCTTTATTTTCCTTTTAAAACAATCCAAGCTTCACCTTCAGTGACACATGACGAGTTTATGAATGAAAAAATACAAAACAGTTCATACAGTGGGACAAAAAACATTCATTCATATCTGACTAAGCCCATGATTGTAGATCAATCATACCGCTACGAGTTCTTGTTCATTCATTCATGCTGGAATAAGTGGCACCCCCCCCCCCCTCAACGCTCGGCTACCTATAAAGGGGTCTCGAGTTCGAGTCCCAACTAAAGCAGAGTTGTTTGCCGAGCGCCTAAAGGCAGCACGAAGCCTTCTCCCAGACACCCCCGTTCTCCCAGACACCCCCCCCCCCGTTCTCCCAGACACCCCCCCCCGTTCTCCCAGACACCCCTGTTCTCCCAGACACATCCCCCCGTTCTCCCTACTGATACACAAAAGAGACTGAGCGCTAAGGCTTTGAACATGAAAGTTGTTCTAGGTCAGAATACTTGTGTACCTGTCATCTAATAGACAGGCTTATTTTCACCGTCCTCCGAACAAGAGTTGTGTCCCTTGAACTTGTTCTTTCATTCAAATCTAATTAATCCATAAATAATACATCTATGGCAGGACTATGAGTAGGACTCATTCACTAAAATCCATCAGATATATCTTCATGTCTTAGTTGTAGATGTAACTCCATCTCTTAGTGGCATTAATTGCAAATATAACTACATTTCGTAGTTCTATCATTCAAAAGACTGTTTTGAACAGTTTTTGTGTGTGTGTCCAGGGTTGAATAAAAAAAAAATCAGCCCAAACTCATTTTCAGAACGAAATTTAATGCGTTTTATATCATCTACAAAAATATACAGGCTAGTGACGCACATTCGTAGAACATTCTGTTCAGAGTGTACCATTTTCTCATTAGCTTTGCATGGCAAGAATCGTGATAGCGGTTGACATATTTCTGTCCAAAGATGACAGCATTAAAGTTTGGCTCATACTCGAAGTTTCTGTTAACATACACGAGCTATGACTTCTATTGAACAAGAAACGTGAAGATAAAACGGTGTCTAGTCTTGTCGTCTGCAACAATGAAATACCGGTATATATATTACATTATCTATGATTATTTTCAATTATTGTTAGTTCGCAAGGTTGTTATTGCAAGAAGTGGTAACGTTTATAAGCATTGCACTACCTATTAAATGTCATACATCTCAAATAGCCTCTGACAACCAGTCCAACTCCTGGCCTTCACGTGTGGCTCAGATATTGACCTCGGCGGAACTGTTTTCACCAACAGGATAAGGGGCGAAGGCGAGTAACTGGCGCCTAAACCAGTAAGCTTCGGGCAGGAGGGGCTCGTTAGTCATTGCTGGGCTACCCACTCTGAATTCAAACCTCTGCTGCCTTACAGCTATACCCAATCATAGGAAAGGCTTCGGTAGTCAGCCCTGTGGAAAAACCAGGAGCCGGTGACATTTTGGCAGTTCGCAGCGCTCAGTGCTACACCCTGGCAATGCCTGCTATGCCGCTGACCCCAAACTGTATCGGCACTTGCCGTTCCTTTGGATACATCCGCTGGGTGGAGGTGGGGGGGGGGGGGCTTCTGTGTGAGCGACATTGTGCCAACCACAACTAATGCGCAGGCATTCATCTCATTTCCATAAGATGATGCATAGTCACTTCGCGGCTGAAGGCCATCAAAAATACAATTCCTATTGTTGGTGAGACGAGGTCAAAGCTAATCGCCTTTCACGTCATCATCACTGCATTTTGTATGTCCTTACTTTTGTGTGAACATAACACTTATTGAAATAAAAGAAGTTTAAAGATAGATGGGAAGTGTGGACATCAAGTGGTGACACCAACCAATGGAATGAAGTCATGCCAATATATTATTATCTAAATACGCCAAATCTGAGCTCATAGTAAAATTGTTCCACAGTGATCGTGATTCATCGCTCTATTGTACGTTGAATATCGTACCAGTTCTATGGCACACATATCAATGAATCATACTATAGAATGTTAGTGGCCTAGTCTGGTCAAACTAAGAATTCCCACTATTTGTATTTAATCGGAAAATCCCTTTCTGTTTGAAACAACCTTGACCCCATGACACAAAAAAAGTCTAGATAGTTGCAGCGTTCCAATCGCTTGTTTACAATTTATAAACAGGTTTAAACATGAAATCTTCATATAGATCTATATTTAGAGTATAGACCTACTTATTTTCAACATTCGGTGAGAAAGTAAAAAGCTTTTGTGTATGTGGGATAGGGGTTGGGGGTAAATTCTAAACAATTTTCTTTCTTTGCCTTCTCTTGCTTGTGTTGAGTTTTGTTTCCGGCTTGAAAAGGGAAATTCCCACATCGAGGAAAGAAAATGACGTGGAATTAAAATGTGTGTGTCGGTGTGAGAGATACCGAGAGTTTGAGGGGGGGGGGGGAGTTAAGAGACTGTTGGAAGGCGTGGTGTGGGGGGGGGGGGGGGGGCTTATTCTTGAAGAAAAAAACGCAGTAGGTTTAAGCATAATCAATTTGAATTACGCTACAGTCCAGATCGCAAGTAAATAATTAATAATCAAAGTTTGATGTTCAAAATTCTCTTTAATCTGTGCAACTAGTATATGTCAGACTTAAAATGAGTCGCTTCATGCTTATATATCTATATCTTTAAATCTTTCTCTCTCTCTCTCTATCTATCTATAAGCATCTAGAGTAATGAGTAATTCATAATTAAGTTTTAAATAAACTTAAGTAAAAAAAAAAAGAAAGCCAACACATTAGCTGTTAAACAATCTAGTAATTATTTATTTATCGAATACATGAACATGTTTTAATATAAACATAACTGTTTACAGTTAAAATAAAATGCGTATATCTAAATATAATTGTCATTTTTAAAAACTCATTAAATATGTTATAGATTTTACAAATCTCCTTTTTTAAGTAGATCTGGGCAGTTGTCTATTACATCCATTATAGTAATAAATCACACACAAAAAAAACAATGCAAAAAAAACCAAAAAAACAATGCAGTGTACAAATATCTTTTAAATGCCAAATTTAAAAAAAAGTTTTGTTTTGTTTTGTTTACTGAGAATTAAAAATATATGTCAATTAAATCTTCATTTTTGTTCTTTTGAAAACAAAATCTTTCGGAATAACAAACAAATGCCTCAACACTAATGCAATACTATGAAGAATACGAGGACATTGATGACATCTTGGAGCTCCCATTGTCTGTCGAGACCAAATGAGCCCTAATTATAGAGGTTGTTATTGAGGAAATAGAGGGGAAAAAAAAGGAACATGGAAGTCTTCGAAGGATTGTGTTATCTTCTACTCTGGGACATTCTCTTTCAGCCCAACACGGCAATATGTTTATATTTATAGTGGGAATTCTTTTAGAACCCGATTAGTGTGTCTGTGTGTATGTGTTCGCGGGCCTGAAATTTTAAAAAAAAAAAGTGTCAAAGCAAGAATTACATTTAAATCTTTTTTTAAATTTTAATTTCTTACAAATTGTTTGTTCCGTTCCTCATCTTCTCTTCGTTCTATTTTTGACTTGACCACTCAACACAGTGCACAGCGGCTAGTCGACGTGGTTAAACAATAATAGCGAGGAAAAACATCTGTATGTGTCAATAAACAACTGTATGTGTCAATAAACATCTGTATGTGTCAATAAACATCTGTAGGCCTATGTGTCAATAAAAATCCGTATCAATAAACATCTGTATGTGCCAATAAACATATGTGTGTGTTAATAAACATCTGTATGGGTTATTAACAATGCCGAACTATTTTAATATGTACATATTGATAAACTAAACAAGCAAAATATTTATTTAAAATAAGAACCTTTTTATAAAAACAAAGCTTATACAACAGAAAAAAAATATTGTCATATATCTCAATACTGCAAGATTATTTTTTTTTCTATTTAAAACTAGATTGATTACTAACACTAATTAATTGTTTTAATTGATTCATGCGTTGTCATCGATTATAATAATTGTGCTAAGTTTTAACATGATCCGAGATTGGGAAATGGGAGAAATATCGTGTAAAAGACTCCTCCAAGACCTACAGACGGAGTGAGTTCATAGAAAGTTTGTAAATAAAAGTCACTTTGTTCAAAAGAAAATTAAAGGCGAATTAATAAAAAAAAAATACTTAGTACAGTAAAATTGAAAAAAAAAATCGAAACATCAGGAGAACCAACAAACTGGGTGAGAGGTCATGGGTTAAAAAAAACAAAGAAATTAAAACAGCCCCGGAGTAAAAGAAAAAGTGGCTAGTTGTCTATTCAACAAAAAATTGTGTGGTTTAGAGAACATTTGTTCGTTTCAATAACCCCGAGTTTTCTATTAATACATTAACAGTCGTGCACTTGAGAAGTCCTAACAACTCTTGGTTCAAACATCAGGTCATTAGATGATGACGTCAACTTCAATGGCAAAGGATAGTATTAAGAAATGTTTCGATTGTACAAATAAATGCACATTTTAGATCGATACATCAATGAGACTTTGAAACTTATTATTGGGATAATGACTCCGCTGTAGGCACGCCGATTCCTGACATACTGAGCACTTCATAGCCCCAAAAAATATTAACTAAATTATGGTTACTCTCAATTAATTTTTGTTTAGTTGTTATGTGGAGTATACACAGCACGGTAGATGCATTTTGTGACTGTGGGAAAAGGAGGGGACAAACACAACAAGATAACTACAACTTTTGTTGCAAGTTTTATTTAAAAAAATGGAGTAACATTTGAATATAGATAATACAAAATAAAGTTTACATTATTATATTTCATAATATGTAACAAAGAGCAAGGAACGCTTAATATGTACGTTAAGTACATAAATAAATATTTGTCTTAAAAATGTTACTTCGGTCAAAGTAATTTATAGAGATCGATTCTCTATCTAATGGTATTACTAATACATTCAGGGCCGGATTTAAGTTTGTGGAGCCCCCTACAATTTTTGGAAAGCTTTAATAGAGATCCGCTTATGAAGGACAATACGTATATCTAAAAGCATGCAATAGAAAAAAAAAAAAAGTTCTTGTAAATTTCATCTTCACTTTCTTTTAAAAAAAATATTAAAATGCATATTTTGGTTTTAAAAAGTGTATACTTTTGAGTTTGTGGAAAGTAAGGCCCTTGTATTTACTGTACTTACTTATTCCGAGCATGCTACAAGCGTACACTTCTTAATAACGACATTTTTGCCAGCAGTTAAAATCCGAAAAAAATATGTTTAAAAAAAATTAAAAAGTTTCTGACCTGTCGAAATTAGTATCTCTTATGTGGCGTGCTCTGGGGGCTGTAGCACCCACCTACCCTCCCTTAAATCCGGCCCAGAATTATTCCTTCAAGTTGTTTTAAATAAATATAGGATGAAAACAAGACATAGATCTAGATATCTTTAAAAAAAAAAAAAGCTGTCATGAAAATCGCGTTAAGTGTAAATGTTAGGCAGTCATCGTGTGGACAACAGTTCTAGGACAATATCCCAGAAAACCGTCTTAGAATAATAAAATGTAAGGTCGGGGGAGAGGGGGTGAGTTTTTGATAGATTGTAAACTAGTACACTCTCGACTCTGGAGAATCAGTGAATGGAAGAACACTACACGAGTGGCGGCATTAACAGGCAGTGGTATATATGGAAACTATACTTTTGAATACCCAAATCATTTCTAGTTTGAACTTATGAATAAATAAATAAATAAAACATGAAAGAATTATACTTGTATTAAAAAAAACAACAACAAAAGTGTGTACGTAGTAGAAATAAAATACGAACAAAATTTACTAAAAAAAATAGGAAAAGTACCAAGAAAAGAATTTAAAAAGATTACCACAATTGGTCCAAAACCCGCAATAATTACTTTGATAGTATATGTTCTTCAATTTCAACAATAAACATTATTAACTAAAGTGAAAAAAAAAACAACAACCTTAAACTATTAATCATTTTAGAATTGTAACTCAAGATTTTCAGTAAATTATCAATCAAGATCAGAGACCAGCCTTCAAATGACGGAGCAAGATTTAACTAGTTCAAGTTATCTTTAAGAAGTTTCTAAATATAGCTTTTTATGTATAAATTAGTCATGTTTTAATAGTGTTATTTAATTCATTTCATTATAAGTACGTATTGTAAAATGTAAAAAAAAAATTAATAAAGAAAATAAGCCCCCCCCCCCCACCAAAAAAAAAAGTAAAAAGAGGCAAAAGACCAAGAACTCCTAAGATGCAAAGAGCTCGACAATTAATATCAAAGGAAAGAGAGAAAAAAAACACGCTTCTTAAAGCGATAGGCTCTAGACCACTCTAGAGTCTAGATAAGAGCTTGTCCCCAGACTTACAAGAGACAAAAGCCAGAACTAAGCCTGGTGCTTCGAAGATCATTGCATAAGCAAAATATCGGCCAAGATTATGCTGTCCACGCTTGAGGTCAAGGCTTTGTCATGGATCTACATCATGGAATCTATTACCAGGGTGTACTGACCAGGTGAAGGCGGTACGGGAATGTCAAATATTTGACTCAAAATATTTCTCTCTTTAAGCTTTGGACCGACCCAGGATCTCGAACACAAAGTTGGGACCGATCTTTCACCTAATGGGGGGAGAGGTGGTTTGACTTACTTCTAGTTTGTTTTCACAAAGGCAGTCGCCCTTTCAACGGAGGAAAATCTATTATTTTCCGCCTCTGGTCTCTGGGGAAAACGTATGTCATATTTTAAAATGTTCTTGCTGGTCAGTTTGAGCCAATTCTGCAGTAAGTTGTAAGAAGTCAAAAGACGAGAGGTTAACACTTTCCATGAATGCCTCCTGGCTGTAGCAGGGGATTGTAATCTCATTCAGCACGCCGTCATCCTCCATGACTGTGCCCACTTCTTCGACTGCAGCCACGTTGGATCTCTGGTCCGGGAAGGACGTTGACCAAGGGCTCAGGAATTTTTTCTCAAGCTGGTTCTCTGGTTTGAGGATCTTGACGTCGGTCCTGTGTCCACTGAAGAGGCCAACGGAAAAGGGCGGCTCGTGTCTGTGGGCGGCGTTCATGTCCTGGACCATGTCCACGTTGCTCTCAGCTTCGCACGCAATGCCAATATCCGAGTTGGACTTGAAAAGCCTCTTCACCGGCAATCTCACAGCTTGGCTGTTCATCGGACTTACCATGGCGTCTTGGATACTGTCCCCTTGTGCCCTGGAAGATGGTGAGGGCGAGCCACTGCTGACATCTACCACATCTCCAGGTGGGGACTTAAACTTTGTAGGGCTAAGAACTGAACCATATGGACTGTTCCCAAGTTCTTTCAACATATCTGCATCATCTGTCAGTTGTGAAGGAAATTGTATGATTATACCATTTTTTTTTTAAAAAAGTTTCTTTATGTTCATTTATTTATGGTTTTAACAATCTCCTCACCTATTAACATTATTACAATATAAATCAAACAAGAAAAACATTTACAATAGACCGGTACATTTTTTAAAAAGACAATACCCCCATTATACAACTTCAAATATAATATAATAAAAAATAATAATAATAAATGTATGGTTCAAACCGGGTTTCGAAACAGTGATTTTTTTGGAGCACTATGCCTGACTACGCCATGTGTTGTTTTTTTTCTAAGTCTAGTCAAGCAAAACTTACATTTATTTTTTACTTTGAAACATAACTGTCAAACTAGAGTTTTTCCCGTGTGACCAACGAGCTGACAGTGACATACACCAACTGTTCAATTCATAGGAAAATCGTTAGAGATTCGAGATCAGCGTCCCCCATCCCCCCACGAAGGAGTGATATGAATAGAGGTATTATAACAAAAGTATAACAAATAATATTTTCTTCAAATTTCTGGTTTTAGTTGACAGCTGTACTAAGGAAGGGTCTCGAATAGCAGATGTAATACACAACAGCAGCAGAAAGAAGGGTACAAATACAACGGCGTCTGCTGATTACATAAGCCCAACCTGTGACTGCAGCTATGTATCAAGGATGCATGTTATAATGGAGTTAGGGCCGGCCTTAGATATAGGCAAACTAGGCATCCGCCTAGGTCCCCCGAGTGCTGGGGGCCTCGCACAGGACTCTTAAACAATTTTATAGAGACGAAATAGAGAAACTTGTCCATAATGTTCTTGTTATAGTACACTCAGTTTCAACTAAATAACGTCTTTTTATTTTTTCACTGATTTTTTTTTTCTATTTCATTTGGGGCATATTTTCTTCGCATATTGCCTCAAATTATCTAAGGCCGGCCCTGATGGAGTTATGGCATTGATGCACTATTCATGCACTAGCAGCTTATCATTTCCGAAAAACTCACTTGGAAGTAGGGTCCTCACGTTGAGACGGGTTTGAGAGTTACCCCCTTGATTGGAGACCCATTCCCTGAGGTCTTCTATCCACTGTGGTTCTGTCTTATGGAGCCTCACGTAATAATGCGTCACTACTTTCTTCATGATCTCAATCTGGGCGTCCTGCTCTTTGGTTTTCTGGAGACGAGATTTTAGTACTTTTTTTTCTTAAAAGCAGTAAAGTACAAAACATTACCGTAAAGGTGCATTAAGAGAAATTGAAAGGAATTTCAGATTTTTTTTTATTACATTGGATCGTATTGAATTATTTTTTCCCTTGTTTTACTTTAAAATTTTAAATAGATTGTTACTTTTAACCCTTAAAGTGCTGAGCTGTCTTACAATGAAGGCATACAAAAATGAAATTACAATGTTCATGTTTAGAGGCTAAACTACCACACGCATCGTAAGGGTTAATACACATTTCAAAATGACACAATCTGTTATCGACTTTTCAATGTCGACGACTTAGAATACTTATTTCAAACGTCAACTAGCTATGTACGTCCAACCAATGTTAACCAAAAGTCAACGACAACTACGTTTAACACACGTTGTCCACTACCTGCTCTAGAGTTCTCAGCTTCTCATTTTTTCTGTCTCTACTCTCCTTGGCATACTGACGATTCTTTTCTTGTTGCCGCTTTTTTCTTTCCTCTTCCGCCGACCTCTGAGTTGGACAAAAAGAAAGCTAATGAATACGATAGTCAAGATATATTTCATACACAGTAGTACAGATAAAGTAATTGTTTTGTCACATATAGGCCTTACTTAGCATCATTGTCATAAATGAGGTATTGATCATATTGAATATGCAAAACGAGGAAGGGATGGGGGAGGCAGGAGATGCCTATTTCGTTCACCAAATGCTTAAAACGATCTATCATTTTTGTGGTCAGGTTTGATCGTCGCTTTCAATATAAGGAGAATAGGTCGCAATTTGATAGACAAATCTACGGTAAGAATGAAGACATAGTTGGTCTAAAGGATAGCACGCTAACTTATTTAATACGGAACACGTGAGTTTGAAACCTGTTAATGTGAAAAGATTAAGTCTGTCTTTCATTGATAACATCTTCTAGGCACCAAAAGTGACAACCGGAAGCTGGTTGACGACCTCGAGGTACAACGATAGTAGCTATTATTACACTTTCCCTGCAAGTCCGAGACCATTCGCTATTGTAGGCCTCAGGACTGACCTGACATGTCGCAACCTATGGGCCGAGGAGACCAATAACTCGTTGCCACGTCGTACGCACTTGTAACGTGGCAATGAATTATTGGTCTCCACTGCCCACAGGTTCTTGCTTTACAGGTCAGTGTTCAGGCCTTCTATGACGATTGGTCTCGGCTAGAAACACACATACACACATATATAAACGATCTAATCTTGTTGGTTATACAGAACGTTATTCCAAGGCTTAGTTTACCTCTATAGTGACTGCACCATTGCCATCCCCAGTCCTGCCAGGGATCTGTATCGGTGTGGAGCACTCTTGGCTGAGCTTATTGTCAGTGTATCTTTTAGAGACGACATCCTGCAAAGATTTACTCGTCTTAGCGCTACACTTCCATCTCATATCCTGACTCCCAGGCACTTCATTATTGTTGTTTACTTCATGTGCATATCTGTTGACAGAATCCATCTTCTGGCTCAATGGCATAATGTTAGATAGATCAATGTTCTCTTCAAGACTAGCGCGTTGATATTTCACTTGAATCAGCTGTTGGTCAATAGGCTGAGATCTACCTAGCAAACTAGGAAATTCAACATTAGCTGCTTTGTGTCCACCTCCACCGAAATAGATAGTGCCATCAGCCCTACTCTCATTTGGCGGAGCGATTCTCAATGGTGCTAAACGGGATGCATAGCTTGGAATTTTGTCAGCTGTAGGAAA